TTCCAGGTGATTCCCAGATAGGGACCACACTCTGAGGAACCCTGGCTTGAGACAGGTGGTTGTGTGTGTGTGTGTTGCTTAATTGGAACATGCCATATGTGCTATTCTTCTGTCCCAGCTGTCACCCATGCTCTCCAGCTAGCTGCATGCCCAGCAGCTTCTGACAGGGAGACAAGTGTTGGTAATAAGTGACAGGGATGATGATGGTGGCACTTGTGACAGCAGAAGTACTATTGGTAGAATGATAACAATAGTAGTAGGGGGAAGAAGGATAATGACAGTGAGAACAAAACCAGGAACATCCTGGTCAAGATACTAGCCTAATTATGAGGTTGTTCCATGAGGGCAAGGCCAGCGGTCAGCAGTCCAGTCCTGGAAAGAGTATGATAAACACTCACCATGAAGGTCTTGGGGTCAGCTCCAAGGGGGCTCAGTTTTTCAGTTAAGGCAGGACAAGACAACTTTGGCAGTGGGAAAAGCAGAGATGGGCAGTCAGTAGCAACCCTGAGATTCTAGAACATCTGCTCAGTTAGAATGAATCCTGCTCCGCACATAAGGGCTGTCATTAGCACAGATGGAGACGGGCAAGGGCTGACAGCATCAGTAGCCTCCACAGCTTATTCAAAAGGTGAGTTTTGGGCCACATCACAGGTCTACAGGTCACTGTGACACAGATAAAATTTTGCACAGCACTCATCTAAGCATAGACTGATTTTCCCAAGTTGCCATACTTTGAAGGAGAATTTTAACATCCAGTGAGTCTCATATCAAGCTCAATGTTGTCTAAGGAATGAGAGATACAGTTGTGGCCAAACCCTAGGAATATGACGACTTCCGAGCCTATTTGTGTTTGATAGTGAGGTTCGCATACTGGTCTTGGGAGCAGGTGGAGATGGGACTGCTGTGTCAACACTTGCTTCTGAGCAAGACTCAGAAACAAAGACTGAAGTGATGGTTTATTCTCTATCATGAAAAGTATAGGATCTAGAGATACTGCTTTCTCCTGCCTTGGAAAGCAGGGTGTTGCTATGAAACCTTACTTAAACTGAAAATGTAAATGAAAAAGTAATCATCCTTAGTGATATGGGGAAAAAAATTGAGAATTCCAGGGCCCTCAGCATAATATACCAAGCCATTCCAAATAACACAAACACCCAAGAATCTCACTAACAAACAGTAAAAGCAAGAGTGCTGTAATAAATGCACAGTCAGCGGAAAGGGGTGCCCTAGGAAGGATCTTGACAGGCCCCATCTTGCTGCTGGGGTGTGTGTGCTACCTTTGCAATGGCTGCTGCAAGACCAGTGCTGAACACTGTCTTCACTTCTCACCTTTTGTCATAAAGTGGAAATCTTTGCATTTCTTTTAGTTAACCAACGCAAGAACCCATGGAGGTCTTTCATAAAAGTCCTCTGACATAGTGAGACCTTTCAAAATGCAGGGGATACCTGTAATTCTGTAATGGTGTTTGTTTAGTTCTCGCTTGTGACTTTATTGTTGCACCATATACTCCTTAAGCTGGAATGACAGGTCTTTCTTGTATTGCTCAGGAGCAGATGTATCTATCTGTCTGGTCCCTTCTGATACAGGTGGTGTTTGCTTCTCTCTTCCTGACCTTCTCCAAGTGCTAATATTTAACAAAACATTAAGAAATGCATGGATTCCCAAATGGCTGTAGACCAACTTAGTATTGGATTTCATAACTCTGGAAGATAAACATTTATTTTAGCGTGAGTTTTGTTCTCTTATGGAGGGAAGAAAAACCTTACGTTAAGTGTGTGCATTTTTTATTTTTTTAAACTGTCATCATAATGTCCAAGGGTAGTCTCCTTTGTGTAGGATGACAATAGATCTAAGGAGAGAATTGTGGTATTTCTTGCCACTATCAGATTGGGAATTCATTTCCTTCCATGGTGAGACCGGTGGGGGCAGGGGCCTTGTTTTTACTCAGTTAACCTGTGAGCTCTCATTTCAAGATTAATTTGGGCATTTACCAATCTCTCACCCCACCTCAACCCCTAGCCCCATCCAATTTTTCTCCTTTTTTGAATTTCATCACCCCAGTGTCCTCACCTCAGGCTGTCACCATCATATTCTACCAGGAACAGCCCTTCTGGTAGCTTTTCCTGAGCTCCCTCTTGATCCATTTCTTTCCATGCTAACCATGTCCCCTGAGAGCCCAGTGACATTCAGAAGGAACCTGTCTGTCCAGACCCATGGCCCATTCTTGGCTCCCATTTTCTCTAATGCATTGACTTTCCTAAAATGCATTAGATGTTGAGTAACCCTGAGTACAAGATTTCTCATTTTCAGTCATAAGCACTCTGTAAATATTTGGGGGAAAATGAATGCACAAAATCTCCATTTGGACACTACTTTCTGCGGCTCTGTCCCTAGGATGCTGTTTCTAGCCAGTCTTGTGCTTGAACTCTTCTTCCCACCTTCTCTACACACATCTCCCAAAGTGTGCTTCTCGGATCTTCTTCTCTCCACCTCCTAGAACTCTCACCCTCTCACATGCCATCGTCTCTCACCACTGTATCCCTGACATTTGGTGCCCTTTCATCTCACCTTTACACCATTTATTTTTTTAAAGATTTATTTGTGCATATAGAACTGGGGTACAGGCCAGCAGTGCATGGGTGGTGAGAGGATTCACCAGAGAGAGTGGGGAGCAGAACAGGCAGATGGATGAAGTACACTCCTGAGGGGAGCAGCGGGTGAGACAAGAGAGATCCTCAGTGCCATGTGGGTGGGGGTTAAACTCACACTGAAGCTGCTGCAGCTAGCTTGCAGTGCTGCGTCCTAACCTGCTGTGCCACTAGGGAGGGCCACCTTTGCACCATTCTGTGGATCCAGCAACTACCCACAAATGTCTATTCCCACCTCACCTGAAACACAGGAGATTCCCAATGCTTTCTTCCCCTTTTTTTCTCTTTACTGTTTATGGGCATCTTCCCATGTACCCAGACACTAGAGGTTCTGTCACCTCGGAGGTCATAATCCGTACTGAGGAGTTGTGCTGTGTGTTCATGTGTTCTGCAACAGAGCGTGCACACATCTACTCCTCTTCTTCACTCAGAAACTACCTTCTGTGTGAACACCCCCAGCCAAATAACTTCTCCCTTTTCCTGTGATTTCTCAAAGTACTTTACCTCTGTGACCATTTCCTTGACCATTAGTTCTGTTTCCTTACAATACTAAATATTATTTTTTTAAAAATATAGTCCATCTCCTCAACTAGATTGCAGGCATCTTGGAGAAGCACTTGTGTCTGAATTAACTTTAAATCCAGGCAAAGGCACAGCCCAATATCTTATGAGGTTCAGAACCACACTGCAGAGACAAGGACGGAGAAGCCTTTGCTGGTTACTTGTTCTGAAACCTTGCTAGTTGGAGGGAGATATCACTCTCAGTGTTTCTGTAGAAACCCACAGACTTATGTCACTTGTGTTTGGAACAATGTGTCCCTGAATGTTGAAGGGTGAGACTGGTGTCTACCCCTGTACACTGGGCCCCAGACTTTATGATAGCATTGACTAGCTAGAAAGACAAGTTTTTGTCCCTGGGAAGTTAAAAGTTTGATCTATATTAATAGACCAGTTATTGTTAAAAATGACATTTATGAATGTATATCAAGGACTTTCTTAAGATATTTCATCTACTTTTAACAGATATATAAGGCTGGTACCCAATGACAGCATCTCTTTATACTTTCAAAACCCTTCAATCTCCATGTCTCCATTGCCTTGAGATGTAAGAAGGACAGTGGTAGTGAATTATCTTTTACCAAATTTGTAAATGATCACCCCCTTTTCTGCCCTGAAGTGTCTGTGACATCCACTGAACAAATGATGAAGCCATGGTGACATTTAGATTTGGTGGCAAACATGGCCAGGAGCTGACACTGGCCACTGGGCAGGGCCATGGCTGAGTCATTCTGTATCAGAGTGGTCAGCCTCTACATATCCTGAAAATGGCTGCCTGAGATGTGCAGAAAGTTGCCCTGCATAACTAGAAAGTGAGGGCTTCGTGCAGTATTTGGAAATATGGCCTTTTTGCATTTCTCCAGAGTGAAGTTAGAGGTAACAATATCTCCTAGAGTACTGTTTGTGGATCTCTTGCACCTGACTCACCCAGACTGCTCCTGAAGCCCATCAAGTATATCTTTGGGGTGTACATGCCTAAGAAAACCTACCCATCCTCCTGTATCTGGTGACTCCCCTGTTACTGAATCAACCTTTATGTCTGTGGCAATAGGCACATTTGACCTGCATTTCATTTCTCCCATTACTAGGTGTGTGACCTTGGGACAGGTTAGCCTCCCTAAGTCTGTTGTTAATTTGCAAAGTGGAATTCATCTAAGTAATTAATGGAATTAATCTAGCAACCTCCTAGGGTTGCTGTAAAGATTAAATGAAATCATTTAAATAAAGCTCTTTATACCACCTGCTTGTTGCAGAAGGGAGAGTGAGCAGCCCCTGATAGCATTTCTTCTGCCACCACATTAGCATTTATGCTACTGGGCAAAGATACTCTGCATTCTCTGACCAGAGCACAGACTAACATATCCGGTGTGTGACTATGGGTCTGGACCACCCAGACATGCTGTAAGAACCAGTGTACACTCAGATGGAAAAGTCCATATAGAGGTTGAAAAACAGGATCCAGGGGTCAGTGGGAAAAGGGAAATACAGACCAAGGGAGCAGGAAGGACTCTAGGGAAAATAAACCTCAACGGTATCTGCCAGCCTGTAGTGGGCAGACCAGAAGCCAGGCCTCAGCTTCACCCAGCTGCCTGCCTGGGACCCTGCAAAAACGTGGCTATGCTGGGTTGGAGTGTCAGTTGCGGTGTCTCACTCACACTGAGTTAACTCTTCTATAAAATTACCAACATGCAAACTTCGCTGCCATCTCTGCACTCCCTGACATGGACACCTGCTGGTTTGACACCCATCTAAAAGTGCACATTCATGGACCTCCTGCGCTGTGTCATTTGCAGAGGAGCTGAAGGCCCCCTTGGAGGAATATGTCCATAAACGCTACCCTGGACTGGTGAAGGTGGTGCGCAACCAGAAGAGAGAGGGACTGATCCGAGCTCGCATCGAGGGCTGGAAGGTGGCCACCGGCCAGGTCACCGGCTTCTTTGATGCCCACGTGGAGTTCACTGCTGGCTGGTAGGTCACAATCTGAGCCTGGCGGAACTACAGAATGATGGTGTGGTCAAGAGGGGGGTGGAGTGTAGGAGGTGGGGCACTTCGGGGTAACTGGAAGAATGAAGAAGAAATGGTAGGCTAAGGTCAGACCAGAGTCTGGGATAAAAATGGAAAGCAAGGAGAAATTTGCCTGCTGTCTATTCAATCCATTATTATCATCATCACTAAAATTCCCAGTGAAAATTCTATACTACCTGGACAGAACTCCAAGTATTCCTTGCTAAAGGAGATATAACAGTTATAGTCCTATTGTTTTTTCCCCCCACCTTGTTTGTTCCCTTTGCTGGGGAAGATGCATGATGGTTATTATGATTAAAAGACCATTTATAATTCTGCCTACTTGCACAAATCTTCCCAGAGCATATGGGATTATCTTTGACATCATTTGGAAGAAGGGAAGGGTTTATCTCTGCTGATGTGGCCCCTGCTATTTATCCAGGTGAAAAGAACAATAAAAGAAAGTGGTTGCATACTGAGAGTAGATTTTGGATACAGGCAGAATGAAGCATCAAAAATGCTCAAATCATTCAATGAGCATGTTAAAATTGGATTAGGGCTTTACAATTTAAAAGCATGGCAATATGATTATTGCTAACTAACCAATGATAAATTGAGTCAGAGATTAAAAAACCTATGCTGGGGTCACTTCATCAGCATGAAACAGACTTTAATTTCACAAATAATGTTTAGTTACACTAGTTGAGACTGTATTGAATAAATACTATTCATGCTACCCAGATCAGAAGAAGCAAGATCCCATCACTAATTAAACATTCAAATCTCTGTTCTTCATTTGTAACAAAACTTAGGGTCCTTTTCATGGCTGGATAAAAAGAGAATGGTTATGCCCGTGACCTCACAAAGATTTGGAAGCCATGGAGTGGGGGTGGGGATATCATTGTTAACCTTGACTCTTTCAGGTGCACAAACACCTTTCCTCTCTTGTTTTGTTTTTCTTTTGCTACCATGGGCTCCAGATGACACACAGTTCTATGGGTTTCCAGCCCCAGCTTTCTCTAAGCTGCAGTTATTCTCCCATAGTCAGCTTTAAAGTGTGCTCCCCACTGCCTCTTGCAGGCCGGCAGCATCAACGACATCAGGAACTTGTTAGAAACCAAGATGCTTGGGCTCTACCCTGACCTACCCAGTGCTGCGGCAGGGCCCAGAGTCTATTTCAACAGGTCTCGAAGGTGACTGTGAGGCAGGCGCAGGTTTGAGGCCCACTGATCCAGACGCAGCTGCCAGATGCAGCTCTGTGGACGGATGCCGCCTTTTCCTCCACATTGTCCCTTCTTATCTTCCCCGTCAAAACGGGTGGTCTCACCTTGTCCCTTTCGCTGGACTCTCCCACTCTGCATCAGGTCACTCACCCCTCCAACTTCCACTCTGGCCAGTGTTACCTTCCAGTTCATCTCACGTCTGCCTTTACCTTGTCTTGACCTCCACGCCCCCAGCTCAGCCCTGTATTACCTTCCACTAAATGAAGGACGTGGACATGCCTGATGCCTGCCTTGACCTGCGTACTGTTCTCGGCTATGGCTGGTGACGGACATACTCTTCATGTTTCCCAGTGAGGGGAGCATTTTCCAAAGTGCAGAACTTTTCAGTGATGCAACCAGAGCAGTTCTGGGCAAACTGGAGCAGCTGATCACCTGGGGTTCAGACCTGGCAAGATTTGGTGACTCTCCAGTGGTCTATAGTAACTGATCTCTGTGATCCACGTCAGACTCCTTCAGACTCACTTCCCATACTTCTAAGCATAACAGACTCCATGCGGCTCCTCCTCCCTGCTGAGTAGACAGTGTGTGTCAGTAGCTGCCTGCAGCGGTCCTCTCCACCTCAGTGACCCTCTGTCTGGGTAGCAGTGCTCTGGTCTGGATGTCCTCTATGGTGGAGGCCCAAGAGCACTTATGTACAGGACATACTATTTTTGTGGCAAAGAACAAACAGCTGACCCTTGTGGTGGCTATTCCTACTTTTGCTCAGATGTGACATTGTCACTTCTGCTCACATCCCATTGACCGGAGCAGGTCTTATGTCCAAGCCGAACATTAACTGGGGTTGAGGGAGGCAGTGTGCCCCTCTGCAGGGAAATACTTCAGGACACTTGGGAATAGGAGGGGTGTCTCCGAGGAAGGGCAGATCACTGATCAGTTGTACATTCTTGCAGCCGAGGAGAGCAGATTCCTCAGCTTCAACAAGTCTGAAGACACAGACTCAGGCCCAGCTAAATGTGCCACTGTGTGCAGCTTCTGCATGTTCTTCTGTGCACTGACCCAGGAGGTGTGCCCACTGAGGGAGCTCAGGGTTGGGTCTGAGTCCAGGCGCAGTAGCTTTAGAAGCCAGGCTCGCTCAGCATCCAGCTGCTGTATGGTCTGGGGGAAGTGACTTACCTTCCTCCCCCCACCCTCAGTTTCCCTATTTGTAAAATGGCAAAAATTTACAAGGACAGCATAGGATCAGAGTGACAGAAAAGTTGGTCTAAGAGTTGAGAGTGAAGACCTCCCCACTGGAGGAAATTAGGGGAGGCTTCTTGATCTGATAAGCCCTGCTAGGTGGCTAGACTTCCTGTCCATGGCAAAAGGCATTCCCCAAGGATTGCAGCAGGAGTGAAGGCTGGAAACGTCCCCAATGAAGCCTGTTTAGAAGCACTGGGAAGTCAGTCCCATTTGGCTTCCGCCTATATGGCATATGCAAAAGTATTGGAGGCAGTAAATGGCCCAGGGTATATTTTATTGCTCGTTTTAAATAGAAAGATGAGATGAGCCAACAGGTAATTCAATAGCTGCAAATGAAAAGAGATGGGCTGTAGGCCGAGTGTTCTCATTATTCTTCCAAATAATGCAGAGGAATGGGATTTTCACTTGATTCTTTTCCAAAGCCTGCGCTCTGTTCTAAGCAGGGAGATTAATGCCCTGGCTTATGAGAGCCATCTTTTTCTTTCTGAATATGGGAAAGCCTCCCTTCCTACATCTGCCTGGAGATGCACTGTGGGGGTGTCTGACCATCTGTTTTCTCCTAAGCAGCCAGAGCTTCACCTTGAACCCTGAGCCAGTCGAGGGAGAGGGGTGCTAGCTGGGAGGCAGGACTCTGCCTGCCTTTGCATTTAATTAGTTCCGGCCTGCCATTGGTAACCAATTCAATTAGACTCTTTTAAGAAATCAATTAAATAATCAATTAAAACAACTGGAATAGTCACACACACACACACACACACACACACACACACACACACACAAGAAGCTAGAGAAATGCTTATTAAAAGCAGGCCATCGAGGGCAGAAGTGGCCTATTTTGGGAAAGAATTCAGCTTAGGCAGGAAAAACCAAAGGCCTCAGCCAGTGCCTGAGGGGAAACTTACAGCACTGCACAAAACTGCAGAGCAATGCAGATCATATGGAGCCCAGGCGTCTGGCTGCGGCTCACACTGTCAGTAGAAAGGAGAGACTTGGCATCTCAGGGGGGCGAGTCCCTCACTTTCCGCATTCTCCCTCCAGGCCTCTCCTTGCTGGAACAGGCCTGGCAGGTGATTCCCCACAAGGCAGGGGCTTGTGAAATGAGCAGCATTTCCCAGCCTTGATAGTGCAGGCCATTGAAGCTGCCTGCGGGCTGCCACTGGGGCAGGGCTCTGGCTTCAGGGAGCCTCTGTTTCCTCTGGGCTCCTACCCGCTCAAAGCCCATCCTCTGCCAGGTTGCATTGTCTGTGGTGCCAGGGTCTGTGCCAGCTGAGGTGTGGGCATGCCTCAGATCAGAGATTCGACCTGTTCTCTATTTCAGGGCTGAGCCAGTTCTGTCCCGCATCCAGGAGAACCGGAAGCGAGTGATCCTCCCTTCCATCGACAACATTAAGCAAGACACCTTTGAGGTGCAGCGGTACGAGAACTCTGCCCATGGGTACAGCTGGGAGCTGTGGTGCATGTACATCAGCCCGCCGAAGGACTGGTGGGATGCGGGAGACCCTTCTCTGCCCATCAGGTCAGTGGTCATTGAACTCCAGAATCCAGGCAATAAGTGGGAGGGTGTTGGGAGAGGTGGTGGCAAGGGAAGATTAGAGGAACCTGACCTGGGTTGGAGCCGTGTTGTGTGAACAGCTGCTATCGGGATTTGGGGTGTCTTCCCAGCATAGTTCCCCCGCTGAAGGACAACACTGTTTGTGCCTTCAGTGCAGATTTCAAGTGCAAGCGCTAAAGGTTCAGGTACAGCTGGTCAAACAGCAACACAGGCTAAAATGGGCGGTCATGCTCACACTGGTTCATTCCTTTTCATATCTGGTGAACTGCATTCAGGAGCTCTGAAGTGGGACGTTTGAAAGGTGAAACTCCTGGGGCTCTGTCATTCTCGCAACCTCGTGCTATCATAGTGCTTCCTACCTAGTGCTTCCTACCCTTTTTCATGACGCAGGGGTCATGAAATAAGAAAAGAGCATTTGCATGGCATCTAGGTGCCCAAGGCCTTTGGCAAGGGCTGTGTACCTCCTGGCCCAGGGGCTGTTCTCTCCCTGCAGACAGGGAACTCAGTGCCTCCTGCAGAACACCTGGGAAGCTCAACTATCAAGGTGTTGGGAGTGACCAAAGATTTACTGACAAGGACTGAATTGAGCCTTGCATCCAATCTTGATAAAATGGTAATAAACTGACCTTGCATCTGGGATGGGACTAGCTGAAGGTGATAACGAACTGGGCTTTACATCCAAGTTTGATAATTAACTGGGCCTAGCATCCGGGAGATACAGTGGGAGGAACTGGGCCTAGCATCAGGGGGCACAGCGATGAGTCACCCCTTTGGAATATGAACCTAGGATCTATATAAGAGACTCTTCCCTCTTACTGAGTTGGCAGTAGCTGCGGACCCCACTCTAGGGGCTCCGTCTCAGCTGCTGTCCGGGAGCAGTAAACTCTGCTTGCTCAGCCTTTCTGCCTCCCGCCTTCCTTTCTAGCGGCCAGTCACAGAAGTTGGGACAAAACACAGGGATGTTGAAGGAAGTTGATTGGATTTTGATGCCTGATTTATTTCCTGTGGCTGCTGTAACAAATGACCACAAACTTTGTGGCTTAAAGTCATACAGATTTAGTCTCTCACCAGTTCCAAAGGTCAAAACTCTGAAACGAAACTTACAGAGCAAATGCAAGGGCTTCTTGGGGCTTCCTCCTTCCTGCCCAGGACCCGTTTTACCTTCTCCAGCTTCTAGAGACTGTTCTTGGTTCCAGGCACCTCCATCTCCCTTCCTCTGGTTACTTAATTACAAGACCTTCTTCCCTAACATTCTTGCTTTGCTTCTGTCCAGGCCCTTGTGGTTACATTTGGGATTCACATGAATAACCAAAGAAAATCTCCCCATTTCGAGATCCTTAAATGAATCTCATCTGCGAAGTCCTTTTCCCCACATAAGGTAGCAGTCACGGATTGCAGAGATTAGGATATGGATATTTGCCTGGAGAGAGGTTGGATTGTTCGGCTCAGTACCACTGAACTATGAGAGTAAAAGTGGTTAAGATCATAAAATTTATGTTAGGTCTCTTTTACCATGATTAAAAATGAAGAGTGATTAAAGACATGTTGCCCTTCAGATCTTGAAAGGATGAAGTTGGAATGATGGACTGACAGTGACTTTCATACTTTTTGCCCAACAATGCTTCCATCCTGCCACTCAGGGAGACTGACCTCCAGTTGTGACACAGGTGAATGAGGGACAACTGACAGTGGCATCCATGAAGAAGCAGGCAGTGGCACAGCGCAGTGCTTTGGGTGCCTGGGAAACACAGCGAAACCTGCATGTGCAAGGCGCCAAGGGAAAATTTAGCTTCTAACTTAGGAGCTGCCATAACATTAACAAATGATTAATCTGCACTTTAAAGAGAGCCAAGAAAATGGAATCGTGACCATGAGTCATTAATATTACATGCGTCTCTGATGTACCAAATAGAATCAAATACCAATGATCACTTTTTAATGTATCATAACTTATAAAATGGTTAATTTGTTAATAGTTGATGGAGGTATTTAATTGTTGGAAGGATTTTTTAATCGCCCTTGTGATGTTATTAAGCAGATACAGTACATTTTCTTAAATGTTAGGCATGGTAGTTTCTTCTACCCCCCTGTGATCCCAATTTTTAATAGTCATGATTGCCTTCTGGTAAAAGTTGGGATGAGGAGAACTGTTTCACGATCCAAATACCATTAGATAAGTCTTCAGGCGCTGGCCCTTTCCAATGGGGTCATAATACGGGAAATTTTGTTTGCAGGGAATTTCTGTCCTTTTTGTTTCCTTCCTTCCTGCTCTCTTACTATGTCTCTCTTTGCTCCCACCTGAGAGCAAAGCTATTTCCTAGGGGTTCTTTTCCTCCTCTGTTCTGCTCTGTCTATACCAGAGTTTCAGGAGTAGCAAGTTGACAGGTGTCATTAAAGAGGCCAGGAGCTAAGTGAAGAACACATGTCCCACCCTAGGAGACCACAGCTACCAACACCTGCCCCCTCTCCCCATGATGATGCAAAAGCAGGAACATGGGCACAGGGTTAACATCATCAGGTCCTCAGTTTTTAAAGAGAAGACATTAATTCAGATCGTTTCATGAAATCGCCTAGCAATAAATCCTCTTCTTTAAAACTATAAGCACCCAGCAACAGACTAAAGTTGATGACCTAGGCCCCCCCAAATTGGTCTGGGCTCCCTTGAAGATGTCTGGTATTCTCAGGGCAGCCTAAGTCCATGCTTCTCACATTGGAAGTTGTGGGCACCAGTGGTATGTGGCACTTGTATGGGGCTGAGGGCTTGAGGGAGGTGTTACTCAAAGCCACAGAGAAACATGGCTGCACTTCCTGAAGCTTGATGAAGCCATGAATGAGTGCTCCCCCCGCCTTCCCTGCCATGTCCCCCTGCCACCGGGTCTCAGCCTCCTGCCATTGAAATGCTCCAGTGACAGGCTTTGAGAAACTAACCCAGATCTCCCCCTCACAAAAGCCTCCCAAATCTGTGTTAAGCCCTGATTTTCTCCTAAATGACCTCATCTCCAATGTCACAACCAACAACCCATCATTAAACTAGTGGATTTTAAAGGTTTTGGAGTCAAGGACCTCTTCAACAATCTAATGAATACCATAGATCATGCGAATTCTGATGTATAATCAGACAGAGCTTTGCATGAAAATGCAGGAGCTTTCTGGATGCCTTGAAGCTGATCTCAATGATCTGCAGGGACAGTAAGAACCACTGCTGGATATTTCTGCTTGGCTTTTCCAGTCGGAGAGCCTTTTTCATGATTCTTTATCCTCACTAGTGTATATGTTTTATGACATCAGGCTGTGGCTGCAGACATTACAACTTTGGCCCAGTGCCTGTTGAGTGTCTGGCATTCAGTAGATATGCAGATAATGTCTCATGAATGAATGAGTGAATAAATGAATAAGTGACTTATGAGATTTGGAAGACAGATCAGGACTAGTAAACCATTAGGAAGAGAGTAAGACTGCCCAGAGGTACATTCCAGGAGAGGAATAGCCCCAATATATCTGCGATGAAGGGAACAGGAAGTATGGAGACAGCCAGGGCAAAGGCAGCAGGATGTTTAGTAACAGGAGGCAGATGTGCTGTTCAGTGTAAAGGTCGACTCATCGTAGCCTTCGTGAAGCCATTGGACTGGTTGGTCTGGAGCTAGATGCCATTGATGGAGGACTGGAACCTGAACGTGGGGAAAGTAGGTACAGAGGACACTTCTGAGATGTTTGGGGAAGAATGAGAGGGAGAAGGGCAGGGACTGTGGAGGAAACTGCAGGACCAAGTGACTCGCGTGCTTTGGAAAGAGGGAGACCGAGTGTGGCTGCCTCACTCATGGAACGACAAGAGCTCCTGGGCAGACTTACGAGTGCTGACAGTGTGGTTTCCTTGTATGTATGTGTCGAACTTGTTTGATGCTGTGGCTTCTTCCTTTGCCCCTCGGTGGACAGTGCTGCAGTGCTATTTCTTTATCACTCCAGGATAGAAAGTGCTACGGTTGCTGTTAAGTCACTAAGTAGCCTCCGTCCATTATTGAACGTGTCCATTCTTATGGACTAATACGACTTGAATTTAATTGAAATTGAAACCTCCTCTCCCTCAATTGTGCTCTGTCGTAGGAGCAGGGTATGGCTGAGGCTTAAAGGGAAGTGGGACTGAGATGTAGGTTTCTATGGTTAGACCTGTACCCCTACCCTTGGGTGTGGGATTCAAACTTCAGTTCAGGTGGTAGAATTCCCATTCACTGCAGGGAAACTCTCCTGACATATTCCTCTCCCAAACTCGACTGCTTATCTTCATCAATCAGCTATTTTTTGGCTATCTCTGAATTTATTTGCATGATCTCTTTGAAGTTAGCGTCTATTATCTAAGCAGCCTCTGTCCAGATGGGAACATGAGCAGTCCTGTTTTAGCACAGTGTATACAGCGAAGGGCACAGAGCAAGAGTAGAGGGAAAGTCCTCAGAAGTAAGAGAGAAGGCTGACTGGGAATGAAGGTATCATAGTTTGACCTTGACAAGCAGAAGGAAAGAGATCTTGCTTAGGAGCCACATCTTCCTCGGAAGTTAGGAGGTGATTCCCTAGCAAGAGTGAGAATTGGCCTGGTGCAGGGGGCTACAGAAAAGTGATAAAGGTCTGGAATAATTTCCAAGAAGAATGTGACTAGTGAGCTGACCAAGAACACAAATTAATTGATGACTGTTTCAAGGGCCCAGGGATATGGTTCAATATATTTTTCAGGAGGATGTTTTGACCAAAAAAAAAAAAAAAAAGACTCTGGATTCAGGTACACCTTGATATAAATTAAAATGTTCTCATTGATAACATTGTGTACATGTATGTGAAAGAAGTGGCAAAGGCACCTAGGTTGGGTACACCTATGGAATTCATGGAAACCTGACTCTGCTCAGCGTCCTTCAGAAGTCTGTGGCTCCGAGCCCAGGAAGTGCTGATCTTTCCAGTTCTTCCCAGCTGCAAAACCT